GCACAAATAATGACATCTAAATTTAAACAACGGCTATTTTAAAGTTTCGGAAGGCGCACAATTTAGTGTACTGAGATACCTTTAAGAGGTCAACAGGATTATGTATTTGTAGTTTTTTCATTTCCGGTCTTCCTGGCTCTTTTTTGGTCTGTCATAAGCGATTCGACATATCTTCTTCAGTCATTTGGTTTACTCTTGAGATGCATTTTCTGTTAAGCCTAGTCTTACTCTTTTTGGTCTGGCACAAACATTCGGCACATTACCTTCAATAGTTCGGTATATAATTGTTATAATATATTTTTAGTCCCGTTGTTTCCGGTGGTTTTTGCCTTCTGGTCCTACTTTTTTTAAATCTGTCTGGCGCGTTTCGGCTTATCACCTTCAGCAGTGGGTTTATTGTGTTACTTCGTCTTGTCTGCCGGGTGAACTTATCGTTTATGTTTTCTGATCATCGACCAAACTACATTGGGTTTGTCGTTAACAATTATTTCTATTTTAAAGTAATTCACTCTCTTTGATGTATTACGTCCTATTCCAATCAACATGGTAACATTAGTATTATTGTTCCAGATTTTCATTTATGTATATACTGGGTAGCCAGAACTAGTGGACCTCCAGCAAAACAAGTTTTTTTTGTTTTTTTTTTGCATTTGGCAATTCTGAATTGTCTTTGTACTTCTCAGAAGAGAAAGTTCATCCACAAAATGGAAAAAAATTATACTGTTCTATATTTAAAAAATGTTTTATATGGAAACTATCATTTTAAAAGATAATGATGGCCGTATAGTTTAAAATAAAATATAGGAACAAGCTATAAGCTACTAATTTTGTATAACGCTGACCATTCTGCATATTCTTTGCTGGGGTTTGCGAGAGGGATGACCTTCTAGTAAAGACCTGCATGATAGCAATTTATTGTTAGACCCATTGGCTGAACCGCCTAACTACATTTTAATAATTCAAATTCTAAGAGGCACATATAAACTGTGATAATAATAGTTATGTATATAGTTAACTAACCGTCAAGAAATATTTTAGTTTTTCCTAAAAGCTAAGCTAAATGCTTTTTCTTAATAGTTTTTGATACGTTTCGTCCTCAATTTCATTTGAACTGAACTTGTACGGAATCGCCCGTTAATTAATATTTACTTTATACGTTAGACGTCTTCAACTATCAGGACCTCAGGATTTGCCAAACTAACGTCAGCAATCAAGAGAAAATCCATAACATCCGTGAAAGTTGTCTTTGTCTACAAGCTTGCAAGATTAACCTGCACTGCTACAAATTCCCCAGGAAAAACAGCGTTAGCGGCAAAATCAGTTATGCATAAAGTCTTCGAATAGCATCAACGTTATAGGAAAGACGTTAAATATAGACCTTGAAATAGCGGAAACATTATGAAAACTGTCTCTAATGTTTATATTGTACGTTATAGCTTCTAAAACTATCAGCTCCTGAGCATTTGGCAAACCAATAAGAGCTTCTTCAGCTATCAGATACTCAGGATTTGCCAAACTAACGTCAGCAGTCAAGAGAAAATACATAAAATCCGTGAAAGTTGTCTTTTTTTACAAGCCTACAAGGTACGACTATAACTTGCTCTACTACAAACTCCCCAGGATAAACAGCAGCATAATCCGTTATACAAAAAGTCTTCAAATAGCGTCAATGTAATAGGCAAGACGTTAAATATAGACTTTGAAATGTTCCATTGAAATTATTCATGGAAATTTTGGAATTCACATGTATGTCAGGCTGTAAGTTTGAGGGAAAAACGGACATCAAGTCGATAGGATCGCCGTTGGGTGGTATTCTTTCACCTTAGGAGGCTGACGTAGTAATGAATGATCTGCTTGGCTGGGTTTAGAGAATGGTTGAATTTCCAATTAAGTTTTTGCGCAATATGTTGACATTTTCTTGGTTATCCCAAAACAAAAATTAGATTACCTGATATCTGTTTTTACTGGTAACCATGTTTTCTTGCAATTCACTATGAATTAGAAAGCAATGGAAATTTACCATATCCACAAAATGGTATACTCAAGAAATTAACTCAGATAGATCTTTCAATTTCAATTCCTCTCACTCTTTTCGAATTGAAATCAGATAGATTTTTCATTTTCAATCCCACTCTTTTGGAATTAAGTTAAACTATGCTAACAATCTTATATTGAGAACGTTTTCGTTGTTTAATGACAAATACTGGGAGTCTAATGGCTATCCTCATTCTTTAGTTGTAAAGCTAATTAATCAAAAGTTAACTAAAATATCTTCTAGTCAAAGCATTCCCCCCTCAAGGGAGTCCTGTGTATATACAAGTAAGTCTGGGATTGATAAAAGCTTAACATTTTTACCTGATATTAGCAATAAAGTGAGGATACTCATAAAAAAATGTACATGATATAACTATTTGAATAGGCTGGATAAATTATTAACAAAGTTAAAAGATAAACATGATTTGTGTAACACGCCTAACATTATTTGTAGAGTATCCTGTATGGGATGCTCTGCCAAATACATTGGCCAGACCATGTAAACGCTAAAAAATGTAATACCACTACACCGCGTACAATTTCAATTTTGAAAATGTTGACGTGTTGCATAAAAAATTTTCAGACGTGAGATGAAAAGTAAAGGAGAATTGTACATTAACGTGGGGGAGAAATCTTGTAATGTGCAGAATGATTTTCAAAAAATCATTCCAGCTTATTCGAATTTGTTACAATTTGCAACGGTGAGGACGTCAAAGGTGTGATATTACTTCTCTTTCTCTATCCTATGGCTGAGATAATTCTTTGGTTAGAGATTTTCATTGTGTATAAATTATTAAGAGTTACAATTCCTGTTTTTTCTTCAAAAATATTTAACTGAGGAAATTTTCAGTTTCTAAATTTCTAAAATCAAATAATTAATGCCACTTTACTACAAATTAAAAAACAAAAGTATAGAAAGTAGTTACTTGTGAAAAAAATTAGTATTTGTTTTTCTTTGTAAAATAACTGTTAATTCTTCTCATGAATCAATAAATAAATATTCCAATTGAACAGAGGTCTTAGCGTTTTATATATATAATCGATTGTCTCACGGATCCACATTTTTTGGCAGTTTGTATGTCACAAAAGGGTTCAGGGCTAAAAGGTGTCCTCATCACACTTTATTTGTTGTCCTCCTAAACAACTCTGGACTTTACTACTGATGCATTAATTGCTCTCTGTGCCGCCTGGTTGTTTGAGTAGATGGCTATTCTTCTGTGAACGATACCTAGTCTTTTAATCTCCTTGGAAACAATTTCAATAGCAACAGTCTCAGCTCGAAAGATAGCAGCATAATGCCCAAGTTTACTTGATTTCTAGTCTTTGGTATATTTCCACAAATACCAGCAACTGATCCATGCTAATTTTGCAGCCAACTGTATACCAGCTTATGGGGCCCCTTTCTCCCAGTCTGCTCTACCAGGTATTTTAATTTGAAATTTTTGGTCAAATCTAATGACATCAACAGGCATCCCTCGAACACCATCAGCCTGAAGTTGCTCCTTGTTATGTATGAAGGCTATTGGAACCTGTCCCCTGCATTCGCCTATGAAGTGTGGTTTTGGCCATTCTCTTGATATTATGTAGTGATGGTAGATTCAAAAGGACTTCCAGGACAGCAATAGGAGTCGTTCTCATTTTTCAGGCCATGCTCAGGCCTTTTGAACATATTTTTTATTGCATTTTTAACATCTGAGAGTTAATTTGTTGACAATATTGGCACTGACGATGATCTTGAAGCCGGGTCGAAAGCTTGGCAAAGTTGGAATTTTGTTTTTATTCTACATTATACTTATGACCATAATACTTATCATCCAATTAAACTTCAAATAGTCGATACATACTCTTCAATAGACCTTAAAACAGCGGAAACATCATGCAAAATCTCTGTAATATTTACGGGAAAAAATGACAGATTCACTTTTCTGTTTGAACTGTAATGCAATCGGTGTAACCATATACATACCACGTACGGTATCCGTCGAAATTATTGTCCCTTCTTTTTACTTATTTCCGCGACGGAACGTTTATCCCCAGAAAGATTTCCGTCGCCTCAGAGAAATAGTAGTTTTAAAAGGCAAGACCCTCTCCGGGCTAAGGGAGGGCGAAGTGGAAGTCTCTTTATCTCTGAAAGCTTTTGCTTTGCAAATCGGGCAGCGAGCTGCCCGGCGTTGTTTCGTGAAAATAAAACGCGTCATTTATTCACCGAAGTACGCAAAAGGTTTTAATTATTTATACGGAGTTAATATGTCGAGTTAAGCTCACACCGGCCGAACATTTCCGATAATTTAAAAAAAAAATGATAACAATTCAAATCTTCAAAATAAAAATTTCCACCGTGAATATAGGAGTTCTTTTGGTGTTTCCAACCGACGTAATCTGTGTGTTAAGCCCGCTTGTAATTTTTCCTTCGTTTACTTACGGAGACGAACTTAATTTATGTTTTAATGTTGGCTCAGACATTATGGGGCCCATTATACAGAATGCCATGAACCTTAAAAGTCATTGGATGATAAATCCAAATTACAACTGGATAAAATATGTGTTTTAAGATTCCTATTTTACAATAATACATCACCTAGTAGTTTATTTTGCAATAATTTATATAAAATGCACTTTGCAAACCTTCAATTATTTAAAAATGATTATCTTCCTATTAGAGAAGGTTAACCAAAATAATTTATAAAAGTAGCGTGAGCAAACTCTTCCCATTGTCATCTCGAACCCGACTGGGCGTAGAGAAAAGTACTCTGGATGTAATGAACCAAATTTTCATAAAGCGAGACATAGCGGACCTGGAAATGATGGAGATCGATCGACTTTCTTACGAATGCCCAACTTGCAAACCAACGTGGCTGCTCAATTACATAATTATTATATAACAAAATGTGCAAATGTTATTCTGCTCAAAATAAAAACGGAACTGGAAGCAGTTATGAAACTTGATTAATCTTTCTTTTGTTCAGGTGAAGTCGTCGGGGGTTACCCAAGCAGGAGTAACGAGGTCATGTTACCAATTGGTAATCTGACGGTCCCTGTGGGTCGAGAAGCTACGTTAGAATGCGTCGTCCGGCATCCCAGCAAACATATCAAGGTAATCGTTCGATAATCAGAAATTACTCGATACTTTCTCCCTCAAAAATTATAATTATTATTTGCATATATAACTTTAGTTACAATAAGTAATTTTGGTAATTCATAGTATAATATGATAATTAAACTCGTGACACACCCTCACAATGTACACACATAAACATCACTGAAGCAAATCCCTAAGCCATTGGCTCTTCAGCCGACGTGGTAGATTTCCAGGTAGGGTTTGTGTAGAAAGTTGTTAGACGAGGAGGTTTGGGTGTAAAGAAAGGGTATTGTGGAATTTCTGATAACTTGCTCTCATAAGGTAGTGATTGAATGAAATATAGCGGTCAGTGTGAATATTTCATTGGAGAAGTCGAAGACAGCATTAGAATTTTCCTTAGGATTTTGGATTGGATAAATTGGATACGGGGTGGATTAGAATGTTTGGTTAAACCCTAACTGCCACTCCGTAGGTCAGACGAATGAAAGTTCAATGAGAGTTTGTAACGGCGGTTCATCAAGCGAGTGTGTGGATTCCCCGTCATTCTTTTATAAATGTACATTCCCAGGTATCCTACCATATCATTAGTCGTATGGTTGTGGTACAATATGTCAGCCAGTCGTAATGGAGGGCAAACGGACTTTCTTAGTTCGAATTGAATTGAGCCCATTTCCTTTCGTTCACTTTGATTGTTCATTTTCGGTACCAAAGGGTGAGATGACTTTGCATATACGTGCTTTGGGTTAGAGAGAAAAGAGAGGATAGCCGTGTTGTCGGCAAACGTGGTGATGACTGTTGGGGAAATAGGAATGACAGCAGTGTATATTGTAAACAGGATCGGGCCAAGGATACTTCCTTGGGGGCTCAAAAAAGTAAAACCAAGATAATTGGATATCTGAGAGATATATAATGAAATGAGCTCGCAGTAATACTTTTGCCCAGTTTACAACGAAAGATATAAATTTTTCAAGATAATGTTCAATTTCTGGAAAACATGTGCCTTTTAAATTTTAATTATATTGTTTTTATATTTTTATTTCTTGGTCATAAAACCTTAGCGGAATATGTACATTTGAATGAGTACCAAATTCTTCAGGGAAGATTCTTTAAAGTATGGCAATAACAAGAAAACGGATTTATCGGTTTTTAGTTTTTAAATTCAGGTAATTTGCGGCAAAACTATGTTTTTCTTAACTAATTTGTCATTATTTATCCTATAATTTATACTAATTTCGACCATCTCTAATCACGACTTTGACCATTATTATTAATAACCCTAGCCATTCCTAACCATGATTTCTTGCCCCAATCATTATACTAATAATCAAATCCAGCTCTTATTGATACTTTTGAAAATTCTAATGTTAAGCTTGTAACTTGTCGACTCCTCAGAATCATTCCACACAAAATGAGAAATGAACATGCCTGATATATTAAACTCTTGGTTAAAGAACTCTTCCAAAACTTGCAAACACATTACTGTTATTGCGAGAGCATTTTGTTTATTACTCTATAATCCCAGGTCCCATTATTCTATCCCTGTCCATCTTTTCTCCCATCTATCGCCCTACAGTTTTCTCTCATGATTTCTCTTAACCTATAAAAATGTTTTAATACAGTTCAATTTATTTATTTCCGAATGTTACTTGAGTCGTCCCAACCATCCGAATGGGCACGTTGCCTTTCAAAATCACGCTGACTGCGAGTCACGCGGACTTCCCGAGTGTTTTAATTATGAAACGCCTCTGTTTGTAAGGCCCTCCTCTTTTGTTAAATCCTAATTTTCTGTTTAATCAGATGTCTTCTTATGAACCTATCCCTTAGGCAAAAAAAACTTGGATGAATTTATCGTTTATTTTCACAAATTCTATGTTTCTACGCTTCAACGAGTGATTCTCCCGAAAAACGACCATCTGTCTGTTCTGATTTGTGATTTTTATCACCTCATCTCGCTTCACTCTGATCTTATGATTATTCAATTCCTAACAAGAAGAAAATTCTGTGTAATTTCTCTCCAAAGCTTAAGTTAGGTTGAAAGCGAATAAATAGATGGCCTACTTGCTATAAATTTCCTGCACCCTATCTTTTCTCAAAGTAGCGACTGTCGGATCGTATGTCCTTCTCTTCCGAACTTTGATTTCACTTCCCCCGTCAAAATAAATTACCTTTTCTCTCTGAACATAGTTCTATAGTTAATTCTTTTTTCGACTTTTTCTTTCTTTTCTATCAGTCTCAGTTAATTTTTGTAAAAAAATTCGTAGGCGGAATGTCAACTTCAAGAGAATTTTGTTTATTTACTTCTATAATCCTTCTATCCTATCCTATCCATTTTTTCTGTCATGAACTGCTCTGCGACTCTTGCTCTCACAATTTCTTTAAACTTCTCATATTAAAACTGTTCAGTCTATTTATATAGTTACGCATTTTATTTTTTTCTAATTTAAAATTACGAAAGAGTTGCCATTAATACAAACTTCTCTGCACGCTAGACCGGCTGGGGTCTTATGGTATTTTGGGCCCGAAAGACGTAAAAGTGCGTCTTTAAGTCTTCTGCTGCCAAACAAGGGGAGTGGCTTTCGTATTCTTCGCAAATCTCAAAATTTATCATTATTTACATATATTTTATTATTTCCCCTTATTTTTCTTTTCTTTTAATTTTGTTTTATTTTGGTAATTTAAGAAAATGAGTACTGTGACAATTAAAGTTAGCCAGGGTAAAAATCAAGGGCTGAGACGTCATTTGCTGGATACTGAGTAAACACCTACACAACGATTATTTGGAGGTCGTGAGATGCAGTCTGGTCTCATGACCTCCAAATAATCATCGAGTAACGGTCACTAAACACCTACACAACATTGGTGTATTCAACGATCACACTCATTATGCCATATATATCAAACTATGAGGAGGAAGAAACAGTCACCTATTGGAATGCGAACCACCCTCTCGAAAAAACTCGAAAAAAATAATAGCAAAAATAACAATCAATGATTTTCTACTTCTAAAAATATGGAACGAATTAGGACAAGTACAATACAGATTTTCACTTGCAACAGGTGCATTGTTCCCTTTTTGTAAATCATAAAGTAAACAATGCCTTAAATGCTTTTCATCCAAAACCATGATTACCTATTAACTTATTCGACACAATTAAAGAAGTTGAAATCAGAAACTGAATGGAAATTAACCCTTTTAATTAAGGGATTAAACAAGCGTATTTGTAAGTGAAAATAATTAATTTAGTGAAGAGCAAGTTAATCCTACAATTGAAAAACGGCATCACCTTCTTGCGTTACCAACACATACTATCTCGGTCATTCCTGGTCAGGTCTTACATAGCCCACCATTTATACTAATCTTTGCTATCCTTCAAACAAATTTCTTTGCCCACTTTTGAAACTATTATTGACCTTCCATAATAATGCTTTTTTGTGCATAATTTACACTGCTCCTGGTCATTCTTAAAAGCGAATTTCTTTGCCCATAATTTATGTTAATCCATGGCCCCTACCCGACCGTGATTTCTCTTACTCACAAGTTAACTAATGTTGATCTACCCTAGCCTTTCTTTTCGCCCGATTTATACTAATCCTTTGCTGATTATACCCTTTCGATGACATATTTCTAAAACGATAACATTTATTTTAACATTTAAAGTACTCTATCATGGTACACAAATGCTACAATTGAATTAGGTTTTGACAAAGCCTTTATTAAATATGTACTTATTAAATATATTTTTAATTGCTCAAAATACTGCTGCCTGCTTAGCAATTAGTCTCGACGTCCATAAAATCGATACACCATAATTATAAAGCAAACATTTAAAAGTGAATGGAGGTTAATGTAAATTAACTACAATAAAATTAATTTGTCAGTCGGAAATATAACGGTTCATTAAGCTTATTGTAATTCCACCGTTCATCGAAGCATAAATAGGGATATTTAGGATATAATGCGAGGTGGATGATATGTGGGGGATTTATCGAGCTGGCAAATTACGAGTCATTAACACCGAAGCCCAGGTACATACGTAATCAAAACTGAATGCCAGGCTGAGATTTGGGGGGCTGGGAAACAATATGAAGGGAGTTAAGGAGTTGCCTAATTTGGCGGTTAGTGTTAGCCCGGATCAATGTATCAGTGTCATTAAGCGGACTGGAGAAACTTGATATTACCGGATTCTTGCACCATGATAACAACACCTCCTAACACTGGATTGTGTACGCTAAATGTAATTCATTTTTTTCTTTTTTGGTAAGGAATAATCAAACTACGGGCTTATATATCTAAATATATATAAATCTTGCAACTTATAAATTATTGGAGGACTTTTTAGTGGGGTTTTAATAAAAATCCAGACTGGAATAACAACTATGGCAGGTGCAGAGTTTTTCTTTCAAGTTTCATCTCGTGTATTGGCAACGATGATTTATTTGCGCCAAACTAATGGAATCTTTTATTAACTCTTGGCATCTTTTATCTCCAACGTGGCTCTTTATCCCACGAACAGGAAACTCAAGGGATTTCCTGCTAACCTTTCAATAAAATTGCTAAAGTTCGTCTTCCTCTAATTTAACATTAGGCCATAAAGGATTGAAAAGGGAAAGAGTAAGAAATGTCAGTACTGCCTCTACAGAGTCCTCTAGTTTAATTTGCAGCAATTCTGTATTGGTGGAGATGAGAAAAAACTCCTAAGTGCCTAACATCGTTTTTTTCGTTTTCTAAGGCATAAAATATTAATAATAATACAGGTTTTTTGTTCAATCATGGATTATTGTTTACGCCTTTTTTCAGCAAGTATGTGCGGCATGGACAATATCCATCGGCCGGAGGTAGTTCTACAAAAGAAGACATAACTAAAATAATAATTATTATTATAATAGGTTTTGGCTCAGGATCAGGCAATCGCAAAGAAAGTTTGTTCTAAGTGTCCAACATAATAGAAGCTTATCAAGCTCTGGCTTATCTTGCCTGGCATACCTTCGAAGTTAGGAATGGTTCTCGGGCATAT